AAAAAAAGAAGTAAATAAAAAAAAAAAAATGTATGATGACTGCACATGCACGCCAATTTAACTGGTGTAGACAACTCTTGTTTAATAATTTCACACCATTACAAGTTGTTAAATTGAGAGAATAAATGTATGGACAAATATTTGAGACTTATTTTGATGTAGAATACTCTCGTTTAATAATTTTACACCATTACAAGTTGTTAAATTGAGAGAATAAATGTATGGACAAATATTGAGACTTATTTCATTTTGGTGTAGACAACTCTCGTTTAATAATTTTACACCATTACAAGTTGTTAAATTGAGAGAATAAATGTATGGACAAATATTTAATACTTATTTTGGTGTAAACAACTCACGTTTGCTTAATTCCCACAATTACAAGTTGTTAAATTGAGAGAATAAATGTATGGACAAATATTTGAGACTTATTTTGGTGTAGACAACTCTCGTTTAATTATTTTACACCATTACAAGTTGCTAAATTGAGAGAATAAATGTATGGACAAATATTTGAGACTTATTTTGGTGTAGACAAGTCGCGTTTGATTAATTCCCACAATTGCAAGTATGAGAGAATAAATGTGTCTACATATATTTGATACTTATTTAGATGTAAGAACTCCAACTTCCACTGTTGCAAGTTGTTAAAATAATGAAATAAATATACTGGTATCATTGAATATTTGATTTAATTGTGAAACTTTCTAACAAAATGTTAACTGCTGACTTCGAACCCTCAATCAACAATTCCGCAGACACAGTATCGATTCCACAACTGTTTATCTCTTGTCACAATTTGGAAACTTTTGAACAAATTGCGCATCGTCCAGTTTAAGACGTAAGTTATTTTATTATTTATTCATTCAGTTTTGCATGTTGGAGTTTCGTGAGGTTTATTATTTTTTCGCGACGTTTTCTGTTTACTTGTTACGGTTTGAGGGATTCGGTTTTCAGTTTATTTTACTTACGTTTTTACAGTAGCTCTGTTTTATCTCAATGGCACGTTTGTGTACCACGCCACGACGTTGGTCGTTGAGTGGTGTTCATTTTGCTAACTACTTCAATATTCCGATGAGTTGAACGGGAAAGCCAAAACGATTGCTGGTTTCCGATTGCTTCGGTTCCGGTGAGTGTGTATCTAGTGGATTTCGAACCCATGGCGGTTGTGTTGTGCGTTTTTTTATTTCCCATGTTGGCCACGCCGTAATATGCAATCACTTCCCCGTTTTATTGTGATTTTGTGAGTGTTTAATGATGTTTTCCTCACCCGTCATGACCCAGTTTCAACCACACGGTCATTATGCAACGAAGTGCGTGACCCTTGGCGTGACCCGACTGACTACTAACACACCAATCAGCTGTCTAATGTATGCAGATGATATAGTTATTCTTTCTAAATCCAAAAGTGGCCTCCAGAATGCCCTTGATAATGTCTCAAAATACACACAGAAATGGAAACTCGCTGTGAACACAGAAAAAACAAAAATTATGGTTTTTAATAAAAATAATAAACTCTATGACAGTGATTTATTCTTTTTTGAAGGGAATGAGATTAACATCGTGAAAAATTATAATTATTTAGGTATTGTCCTCAGCCCTAATGGAAAATTTAAAGCTGCTATGAAACATCTGAAATACAAAGGAATGAAAGCATTATTCTCTTTAAAAGCCAAATAAGGTCATAATGAAAGCCTCAGTCCCTCATTATTGTTATCATTGTTTGATAAACTAATAAGACCAATTCTTATATATGGATGTGAAGTATGGGCTGAAGAAAGTT